AAGGGTAAGGAGGGTGGGGTAGGGAGGGACCTCCTCCATATACAGGGATTACCACATGACCAGGGCTGGTGAGGGTGGTGGCTCAGATCAGTCCTCCCCAGCATCAATGGCCTGCAGCTGTGCTCAGTATTCTTGGCCCATGGGAAATGGTGTACAGGCACCTAGCTGGGCTGCACTCAGTGAGGAGTTGGCACTGCAGTCAGCCAGCAGTGTCATGACCAACCATGCCTCATGTCTGGCCCTGGGTCTGTGCAGCTGGTGAGGCAGGTGCTAGCCAGGTCTCCCCAAGCTCCTAGTGGAAACTGCAGTTGGGGAGCTGGGTGGGATGGGGCACTGCACGCCCAAGGGTCCCTCCTCTGATGACGTTGTACTGGAGATGCCAGGCGTGGGTGGGGACACAGGCAGGTCACCCATGCTGGTGTAAACTGCACAGCTGTGGCCTAGGCCTCAGCATGACAGAATGTTATTCAGCTGCCACATAAAGTGCATGGTCTTGCAGGTATGGCCAGATCAATGATGTGGTCATCATGGTGACACATTGTGCATGCAAAGCTTTGACCTTTATGTAGCACTGCTGTGCCAACCAGTCATGCCCTCACTTCCTTATCCAGCCTGACAGGGACTTATAAGTGTAGACACTGGAGAGCACAACCCACTCAAACTGGCACAGCATCTCCACCACACCCCAGAGCACCACAAGGTCACCAGTCTCCACCTGGCTCCAGTTGGGGCCTCAGGCCTGCCCAGGGGGACATGCAGGGCCTGCAGTTCTCTCAGGCTGCCTGTATTGTGTGCCTCAGGGCACAAAATGTCTTCAGGCTTTTATAGCCTGCAGACAGGGACTGCCATTGAGGCAGCCTAACTCTGGAGCAGGAGAGGCTGTGCAACCCTGGGGCTAGCCTCAGGCCAGCCCACTAGTGGCTGGGCAGACCCAGGAGCACATTAACTAATCCCACTTAAATTTGCTATTTGCAAATGCAAGTAGCAAATTTAAGCGGGATTAAGGGTTTTTTATTGAACAGTAAGCACACGTATGTGCCGACGTGTGCTTACTGCAAAGTAAATTACACTAATGAGCAGTAATACATCTGGTGTATATTCACCCAGTCACAGCTTAACCTTTCTGGCCATCTTCCTTTAACCTTTGGGTATCTACATTTCTGTACATACCCAATGGATGCATTTACACAAGATCTTTACTGTGGAGTTGCCTAATTATCTTCCCAGTAAAGTGTCTCCATCTACACATGTGGAGTTATTGAGCCAGAATAAACAGAATAACTGCTGAAGGTTAATAATGTTTGATACAAGTACTATCCTATGGCAGAGTGATTTATTCTGCTGCAATACACATGTAGATGCTGACTGGAGCTGGCTAAGGAATGAGAATACCAAAGTGAGGGGCTGCCTTCCAGTTAGCCCCCCATTCTAGCACCATTGTGCCTCATCCAGCCCAGCTTGGCTCAACACCTTTGGCTGCACCATCTTGACTCAACATGCTCTGATCTCAGGTGCAAGTATAAACACTGTACCCAGGAACAATAAACTCCAGCATGAACTGCACCAGAGCTTATTCAGCTCAGCTAATTTTATGTGTTGATGCACCCGCTACTACCTGGT